TCTAAAATGGTCATTCCTAAATAGATTGGTTTGTTTAAAACCAGTTTTGTTTTAACCTTTGAAACTCCTACCAGTTCTTCATTGATAATGTGGCATCCTTGATAGGTTGGACTGTTGATACATTTTTGAAGTCTTACCTGTGATGATACTAACTCAAAGTCCATATGTTTTCTCACATTCTCCATCGTTTTGCCATATACCGCATTGTTCATCAGTTTAAACATATCCTTCTCAAAATCGCGCTTCGCTTCTTTTCTCTTTTCAGTGTTAAAATCAATCCAAGTCTTTAACCACGCCCTTTGGAATTTCACTCCTCTATGAATGTGTTTAAGTTTCATCCCCTTTTGAAGATAAAACTGTAATGCCCTGATATGGACTACATACCTGTTCTTGGCTTGAAGGTTCAAAATGAGTTTTGGTGTCTTCTCATCTCTTGCTTCCTTTCCGTTGTAGTAGTGTTTGTGTAGTTCCCTCTGGTGATTTGAAAGTAGGTTTTCGCTGATGTTCATATTCTCTGGTGCTAATGGGTAATCACTATGTTCGTCGTGTATCTCCTTTGGATACTCTAAATCAACTTCAAGGATGTAGGCATTGTCATCGTTCTCATTCCAGTCCATTATCATCTGTTCCGTCAGCATCTTCTTTATCCATTTGAGTTTTCCTATGGGTAGTTTCATTGACATTGCCAGTCCATAAAGGTTGTTGGCATCTAAATAGTTGATGTAGTTGGAGGGTTTTGTTTCATCATATTCATCGTTCATATACTTATTGTTTGCCTTTGCCTCCTTATGACCCACCTGACACATTCCACCTCTCAAACCTCTCTCAACCATTTCATAAATCTCTTGGTCGGTAATCGGTTCTAACATCACTCCAGTTTTTAGTAGCATAGCATCCCAAGCAAAGTTAGGAAGGGTGAAATAATGTGCTGGGTCTAAACCGTAGTATTCCAAACAAAGGTCTCTAAAATTTTCAAAGACATCAGTGAGTAGTAAAACATCAGTTCTCAAATACAAGTCGTGGTATTGTCCAAGATTTCTTATACCGAAGTGTTCCCATATCCTCTGTGCCCTTTCATACTCATCATCTTCAAAATGACTTTCGGTGAGATTGCTATAAAACGCTTTCTTCGGTGGTAATTGCTTTTCTCTGAACTTGTCAAATGAAGTGAAGTAATCGTATGGATAGACACCTTTGTCAGTGAGTAAGTCTAAATCATTGTCATTGCTTACATAGGGGTTTCTTTTGCTGAACTTGAAGTTGTTTTGCCAGTTTTCTTTCTTCTGTCCATCTTCATACTTACTCAACTTGACCAACTTGTCCAATGAGGACGATAAGAACGAAAAACTGTCTTTGAAACACATATTCTTGAATGCGAAGGTTATGAACTTCTCACTGTTCTGCTCTATTACATCTATCTTGGCATTTTCTGACAGTTCATTTGCTCTTTCAATCACTAAATGACTGTCATAGTTCTTCAAGTTATGAAGGAAAACTGGAATTTTGTAATAACGCATTGAAAACTGTAAATTACAATCATCGTGGGCACATCCCCTATACTTCCCTGTAAAGTGGCAATGGTCTCTACACTTTTTGTCTCCTTCCTTGAAGTCCTCACCGCAAATGAAACATTTAGTGGCGGTCTTAAAGTCCCTCCAGTCTTCGTCCTTCATAATGATGTCCTTGTTTTCTTTCATCTTCTCCACTATCTTATCCTTTACTTCAATCATCTTTTTCACGAAGACATCCATACAATCCTCACCCCTATACAAGAACGGTTCAGTTGAACCATCAATTGAATTGACAACATTTATCATAAAACCGCAGGGTCTATGATGTTGGTATTTATCTGTCTTGATTGGTTTGGTGCTTACTGTTCCCGTTTTCGTAGTCAAACACTCAAAATCAGCATATATAACGAATGGTGCTTTTAGTTTCTTAAAGTGGTTGTTGAATTTGACGAAGAATTTGTCAGGCTTCTCTGGGTCAAACTTTGGCATTTCTATTGTTTGCCCTTCCACTGCCATACATCCCTTTTCCTTATGATTAGTTAAATCATCCTCTGAATGAAACACACCCGAACAGTGATTACAAATGTATTTCTTTGCTTTCCGCTTACCAGCCTGTTGATACATCAACTTGTTAAAATCTTTGATATAAACATAGTGGTGATTGTCTCCATCAGTTATTTTCAATAGGTCTATGTGGTGAGTTGCTTTGACAACTGTAGTCCTCTTATACAGTAGGATTGATTGCTTACCATCTTCATCATCAACGTAATAAACATTGATGGACATTTTACCTTCGTTGTTCTGTTCTAAAATGCCTATGTCAAGATTTGATACTGGAAAATTGACATTGTCCCAGTTGAGTTCGTCCTTTAGGTTTTTGTATCTGTAAATTCTGTTTGGATGGTCTTTCTCATAAACTTTACAAACACCACACTGAATGGAATACAAAAAACATTTGTCATCTTGATTTTGAATATTGATACAGGCTCGATTCAGTTTCAACCATTCAGGTAGTTCAATGTATGAACCTCCACGAGTTGGATTGTATTTGTCATAGTTGAATTTCAGTTTATCAATATGCTTCAACACCAATCCACTCTCCGACATCTCCATTTTGTCTAACTGAAACTCTATATCAGTTGCCATTTGATTTAACTTTTGGGGTATTTCCTCTTCGTTGGTGATGTTGTATCTTCTACTTCTGATGCTCTCCCTTATCTCTTCGTTGGTTTTCTTGCTCTTCATAGTGGCGGAAACCTGTAAAATAACTTTCATTCCCTTATGTTTCCTCGAATACTCTTTCAATCTCAAATCTTGGTATTTGAGATACTGTAGTGCCTTGATGCCTCTAACCCTGACATTTGTGATGGCATACGAATTGACATAACCCTTGAAAGCAGATTGTTCGTTGGTGGTGGTTGCTTTGTATCTCATTTGAATACCTGTTAAGGCTTTGTTCTTGTCAAGATTGACCCATCTAATGCCTTTCTTTTCTTTCAGTTCATACTTTTTGTAGTCCATAGTCTGTCTAATCTTGTTGAATTTGGTGTTCAATATTTTTGATAAGGGTTTTCCCCTTTCAAAGTTGTAGGTCTTATCTCCAATCTTGAGTTTCTTGAGTTCCTGTCCATTCCGTTTCAATATCTCACCCTTTTCGGATGATAAAAGGTAATCTAAAACAATCTGCTGTGAATGTGCCATTATAGTATAATCTATATTATTATAATATTTTGTTTCTTTAAGTAGTTTTTCAGTGTGAATTGTTTGTTGAGGATGTTGCGGTTGATTGGATTGTTGGTTGGATTGATTTTTAACATAAAATGTATCTGTTGAATGCTTCAACCTTGTATCCTCTGCCATTTACTCCTTACCCCATAAGGTGGCAAGTCTTTAAGTAGTTTTTGGTATGGGTTGCCTGTTGGAATTTCAGGGATTGGGGTTGGACTTCAACATAAAAACCTTCTCAATAAAAATGATTGTTATTGATTTTTTTTTGGATGATTACACTGGCATCTTTTCTTCATACAAATGTTTGTTTGACGATGTTTTGATAAATTGGATTTGGACGAAATTGTCCGTCCGCAGTCGGGACAGGTGAAAGGGGTTGATAATTTCTGTTGATAATATTTTGAAAAGTATTTTGGGTCGTTGGGTTTCTTGTCATAAGTTCCGTCGGGTTGCCATCTTGTCGAGGTTTGGATTGGGGGTTCTTGGACTGTTGGTGGATGGAGTGCTTCAACCATCTGGTCAAACATGTCTTCATCCATTTCTTGTTTCTTTTCCATCAATTACTAAATAGCAGGGCATATCAAATCTTAATTATATAAGGCGACTAGTCTTTAAGTATTTTAAGGTTTTATGTTGAAAAAATGGGGTGTCCTAAATGATGTTAAAAGGTGTCAAAAACAACCAGTTTAGGACACTTGTTGAAATACTGTTCTTGCGGTTGTCTCGTAGATTTTATGTCAGTATGTCTCATAGATGTTTATGTCAGTGTTGTCAGCGCTTGTTGTTTGGAACTCCAACCACGTCGTTGATGGATGAAGTCGGCGTTGATGCGAAGCAATCAAAAAATATAGGCCAAATATATGTGTGTATATATATCTATCTATCTATCTATCTATCTATCCGCCAAACACCAAGTGGGGGGGTATGCTTGGAAACCTCCGCAACAAACAGCGGTTGGCTCCCTCCCGGTGTTTTATTCCCTTTTGTTTCACGATGATTTTCTCATCCCTCTCAAAGGTCAAAACCAGCTCACCGCGAGACCTGATGTAAGCTTGAAAAAAAGTATGGATGAATTGATTGAGGTGAAAAAGGCATTGGATATTAATGTATATGCGGGATGTGTGGGGGTATGAACGGATATGTATGATATATTCAAAGGGCTTGGAATGATCACCCCCATCCAAAGAAACATGAACTCATCCATTCGAATTTCAGACTTGAAAACTGTTTGGAATTGTCATTTCATTCAAAGCTTTGGTTGAACCTCTCACCAAAGTGACGTTTGCGACTCATGGGAAGCACCGGTACAGAAAACATTGTCACTGATGACTTCTTGGCCTCGGCGCGGCAAAATGCTGAGGGGGCAGCAGAGCAAAAATATGCTGTTGCAGCGTATGGGTGCCCTGTTTAGGATTAGGTATTGCCTATTTTGTGTGAGCATGTGCAATTTTAGGATGAGGTAGTGCCTCTTTTATGTGATGCTGGGCTTTAGCATGTTTTAGGAAAGGTCTTGAAAATGGAAATGTGCTGGAGCCCAAGCGCATGCTGTTTTGGCATTGGGCTATGCTTTGTGCTAATTGTGGTGAATTCAGCGGCGAAAAGGTATATACGCTTTGAACATGTGGGTGGGTGTGCTGTTGGAGAGCATGTGCACGTTTTCAGCCGCAGTTTCTGTCAAGCAACACGCTGCCTGTTGAGGTTCGTTTCTGCAAACCCCGCCAAACAAACACTGACAAGCGCATTTTTGCTCTCCACCGCGCACAAGAAGTTCTCTGCATCCTCTCTATACTATCGGCAGCACCAAGCCAGCACTCAGCAAAGCACCTTCTTTGAACTTCCCATCCACGTATGTAATGTTCATGTCAAGCGCCTTTTTTGCCTGGCAACTGTGACCACTTGCAACAATTTGGAAAATCACACCCTCTCCAACCCACAAAAGCTGGGAAAACCTGCGTTGCACACTACTCTACCTGTCGCATTTTCCCGGCATTTTTCCCACCTGTAGCTCACAGAGCGCCACTGCGACTGCTGCACCAAGCGGTTGTTTCCCACCGCATAGAAAGCCTGTCCTCTTGAGCTCTGGATAGTGAATATCCTTGGGATTTGGATTCAAGCATCACGTTACTGTTCTGAGATGACATGAGACGTCACAGGAAAGTTGGTTCTCTGCAAATCTAGCTGAGCTAGGGGCCTTGGAAAGCTCATGCACAAGGTCTTGGAGATCTTTCACAACATCACGTTGCTGAGCAGCATGTCTGGAGACTTGGGTGAGGTTTTGGAGAATCTGCTTTGCGCTTGGTGTCATAGTGGGCCTTCCTTTCTTCTGAGCTTTGAGGAGATTTGGAGAAAACTTTTTGTACCCTTCTGTCAGGGACAATTTTGGATATAGTTTTAGTAAACCCTCTTCCAGCAAAAATGGGTTGCACAGGATGGAAGCGTACCGTGCCTCCCCGTGTAGCCTTGGCTAGGCGCAACAATACTGTACAAAGTAATGGGAATATTGTGTTGTGCAAATGCTCAATGAGGGTAGATCCATTGCTAATTGCAAAGTTCCATGTCATTGACACCAAAACACTAAGCCGACGGCTTCTCTGCAGTCATCCGGTGAAGGTCCTTCTCCAGCTGGGCCAGGTCCTTCTTCAAAAGGGCCTTCTCCTTCTCCTTGTCCTTGATCTCAAGGGCCTTCTCCTTGTCCTTGATCTCAAGGTCCTTGTCCTTGATCTCAATTTCAGCTTGGTGTAACATGTTGATCAGCTGTTTCGTGCTCGAATCAATGCCTGTCGAATTTTCGCTAAGCCATTGGCTAAGCCGGCCCCGACAACCAATTCTCTCACAACGAGTTCCTGGTGTCGCTGACACGACCACCTGTGAGATAAAGACCCTGTGTGATGCCATACAAGCGGTCCAAGCCGCAAATATGGCCGCTGACCAAGCGTGACGACACCGCGCCATCCCCGCAAGGTATCATATCGGGCTGCTAAGTGCAACGTGTTGGGGCTTGAGGACGCTAAACACCGCGGGACTGGCGCTGCACAAATCAAGATGCTTCTCCCTCAAACTCTGGTTGAACCTGCGCGCTCTGTCACAAACTCTCGCTGGACTGGACAGCTATGAGGTATCCTGGGTGCCCCGACCATATTCAAGACCATGTTCGAGGACAGCGAGCCAACATGGCAAAAACAAGGGAGGAATGAACTTTAGGGCTCCATCTGGCATATTCATGTTCTGAAGAACTCCAAAATTAATGCAAGATTGTGAATCACTATCTACTGCATTGTCAAAAGCAATCAAACAACTACACGAAGGAAATTAACCCAAATATTCAACTATTAGAGTTATTGAATGGTGGTGGGGTGGAATAGGAAACTGGAAAGCAGAAAATGATTAATTCATAATATCATAACAAAATATATTATGAAGTAATCACCACCCAAACACAAACAAAAACCCCAACAGTCTCAACAATTATCCCCCCATCTGAACCAAACATTGACACATCATTTTAGCAACAAAATTACCCCTAAAACCCCACCTGAAAAAACATCAAAGGCGAAGATGAAACATTGAACCCCAACACAAAATCATAACAAGCAACATACAAACATATACGCCCTGAAACCCCCATTTATCCATTTTTCCCATGATTTTCCATATAGATAATGCACCAGCACCCAAACATCCAATTCTTGTTGGCAGAAAACAAATCCCAATAACTGCCAATAACTCAAGAAATCGTGGGAAAATTTTCAGGCCAACAACTGCGGCCTTTTATCTCACCGCCCAGAGGCAGTCTTGTGGCACCCGGCCATCTCGCCATCCGCGCATCGCCACGAAGCCGTGCCAGATGCCATGCAAGTCATCTGGGGTCAGCAGAGATCCAAGGAATTCAGCCTGGAGCGTGTCAAAGGTGCAACAAAAAACCCTTGAATATCTTGAATAATGGGAGTAAAACAATGTCATAAACCACCCATTTTGCTGGGAATGGTTTTTACATATAAAAATGGTGATGACTGGGGGATGGTGCCTTTATGGCATTGGGTTTTACCCACATGACTGGGGAATTCCAAGGGTGAATCAAGGGTGAATTCGATTGGTGCAAAAGATTCACCCTTCATATGTTTTCGGTCAAGTATTGGCAAGACTATTTTGAAGACTAAAAACCATCGAAAACAAAAAAATCAAACATCTCAAATCTCCAATTTTGATTTCGATAAAATATTTACAATGCTATTTCGAAAACTAAAACCAACCGATTTTTTTCCGAACTTCTATTTAGAGGTGTTGAGGGGGGTTATTAATCAGAGGTCAACATTACATCCAATTGTTTGGGGTAATGCAAACTCCTCATGGTGAACTTTGATAAAACACTTGAGGTTTTGATCGTGAAATCATGTGACATACACTATGAAATTACATGAACTCCGCATTTTGGTTGGCAACAATCAACCCAACAAAAACTCTGGGGGTTCACCGGGTTAGATCTATCCCTGGCCTTTGCCTAACCAAGGGACCGAGAACAGCTGCTCTCCCAGCTGCAGAATCTGCTGTTCAATCCGCTGGGCACGTCGCAAGCAGGCGCGGCTCAGCTTGCGGTCGTCGCAACCGGGGACGAAGGGCCTGGAGGGGCTGCGGGAGGGGCCACGTTGTTCAAAAGCCCTGTGGGTTGGGATGCCCCGGAAGTCAACATGATTTACAATCTTCCACAATAAACTGGCCAGGTATGGCCCAGGTAGTACAATCCAAAAAATGAATTCAATTACTTTACTTCGAGTTATCCCCACCATGACATTTATACGTTTTGTTACTGGCAAATCTTCTGGCGTTCTATCTGACATATCTTCTGGCATTTTATCTGGCATATCTTCTGGCATTCTATCTGGCATATCTTCTGGCATTCTACCTGGCATATCTTCTGCAATATGTTCTGGCATATCTTCTGGCACTATCTGGCATATCTTCTGGCATATCTTCTGACATTCTATCTGGCATTCTATCTGGCAAATCTTCTGGCATTCTATCTGGCAAACATTCTGGCACTTTATCTGGCATACCTTCTGGCATATCTTGTGGCATTCTATCTGGCATATCTTCTGGCATTTTATCTGGCATTCTATCTGACATATCTTCTGGCATTCTATCTGGCCGTTGAGGTCCAGCGGTGCACACTGAGCTGGGCAGGTCCCAGGTTGAGGTCCAGCAGTGCACACTGAGCTGGGAAGGTCCCAGGTTGAGGTCCAGCGGAGATGGGAAGGTCCCAGGTTGAGGTCCAGCGGTGCCCACTGAGCTGGGAAGGTCCCAGGTTGAGGTCCAGCGGTGCCCACTGAGCTGGGAAGGTCCCAGGTTGAGGTCCAGCGGTGCACACTGAGCTGGGAAGGTCCCCGGTTGAGGTCCTGCGGTGCACACTGAGCTGGGAAGTTGGCAAAGAGCTTGCCGAAGAGAGTTGGCAAAGAGCTTGGCGAAGAGTTGGCAAGGCGGAAGTGGAGGTGGAAGTTGATGCAGACATGGTCGAGGAGAAACTAGAGGAGGAGGCGGAGGAGAAGGAGGACAGCTAGCCGAGGAGGAGAAGAACAACTCTGATAAAATCTAACAACCATCACCTGGCAGGTGGGGAGCAAGGATTTTGCGTACTGCTCACATCGGGCAAAAGAACTTTATAGGTTGAAGTCACCAAGACCAAGGGCCTTTCGATATGATGGCGACATATTCAAAAATGCTTCCAATTAAAATAGGCGCTAGTCGGCTTTGCAGCCTTGGCAAACTCGGTCGTGAATCAAGATTGAAAGGCATATCACCCCAAGTTGTTTGCTTTAATAAATGGACACAAACAACAAATCCTGTGACTACTGGCCACCTTTCTTGGGCTCAAGTTATCTCAGTTCCTGGCTGGAAAACCGGCTGGCACTTTTGTTCTCAGACCTTGCCTGAGCTGCTGAATGAACTGCTCCAAACACAGCTCTAAGGCGCGTCGGCCTGAACCCTGCTTGCAGATGGCTTGACGCATGACATCCAGCGACAAAGGTTTCAACAAAAGGTCCACATAGATCTTATACTCCTGAAACAGGGCAGGAAGGGTCCCATGTTGGACAATTATTGGACACTTTGCTGTTTCATCTTCGAAGCAGTGAGTCTATTGGGTCGCCAATGAAAACAACATGGCATAAGTTCTTCATGAGAAGGATCATCGAGGTATCCTGTGTGTTGAAGGTCTGGGATGTTCATCATGTTGTGGGACCTATAGAAATGTCAATGTCAGCCCATTGCTATCTTCACATTTGACAACGGTGTCAGCCCATTGCTACATTTGTGTTTGACGTGGAATCGTTGAGCGAACACCTGTTTGAAACTGAGGCCATCAAACAAACCAACTGATCATAGGTCATCAATAGACCCTGGAGTCCTGGAACATTGTAATATGACCCGGCGGGACTTTCCTTCTGAGTTCTTTTCTATTTTGCTACTGTAAGAAACATGAAGTTCTTACATTGCCATGTAAAAGTCATGTTCCAACGAATCTGCTCCACCATGAACAAGACTTCGAGCATCTCCAATTATCAATTGGCCATTCTTCGCAGAACAACATCATAAAGTCAATTGAAAGAAGGTGCCACTTCTGCCAGCATCACCAATGTCGAGGAAATCACATATTGAAACCAAGCATCGGTCAAGGCTGACGCGCCATTTTCGCTTCCAGCCCCCTCTTCCAGGGCTATCCCCATGGCGTTCGCGCTCGCATCCGACCAAAGGTTGGATCTGGGGCGTGATCTCGACCCTCAAAGCCATGGGGGTTTCCATAAATGGGGGTGCCCCCATAGCTGGATGGTAATATAAGGGAACATACCATTGAAATTTGGATGATTTGGGGGAACATACCATTGAAATTTGGAACCTCCATATGTATATATATATATATATACTATACCCTGTCACCCTGTGTTTTTTTTTAACATAGCTATTGGAACATCATGGCCCATGATTTATTATGATTTACCCTGATTTTTACGAAATTAAACATTATGTTTTTCCATGCTTATATGTTTAACTTACCAGAGCGTAAACATCCCCACTTTCAAGGCAACTCTTGTCGCCAGTTCACCCACAGAATGACCGTGGGGGCGAGGCATCCCCGTGTCAGCGGATCTAAATGGATGTTCATACCCACAGTGTGTAGTTAATTGCAATATATTGTAATTATATATAATATATATATATTAAATATATATATATATATATTATATATTATATATATATATTTGGCTGTTAGCCATTCTCATCTGCACACATTGCACATGTTTTTGGCACCTTACCTAAGCTGATCCTGGTTGATTGCACTTCCCTTTCCATGAAGTCCATCCCAGCTGCCCCTGTCTCCCGCCGTGTTTTTCGCACATCTTTGGCACGGTTAAACGAGATCGTGCAACGCGGCGCAACGCGCTCCTCACCAGCCGTTGCAGACCTCCAAGGATCGCAACCTGGGACGATCAACACACCAACCATGCTTGATATGAATGATATGATGACTCCACGTCCATGGTGAATCTGCCGTGCCGCAAGGCAAACCAGCATCTGAAAGTTTTGGGGAAAACATGAAGCATGAATCTAAATTATGCTTGCCGGCTGGTGGTTTCAACCTCCTTGAAAAATATGATTCATTTTGAATCATCATCATATATTTCTATGGTTGAATAATTATTTAAAAGAGTTGAATCTGCATGTTGGAGGATGGTTGTATGTATGTTGTGGTACGGCAGCTAGCCAATTCGAGGGTTGGTTTTGAGAGGGGTTTACGCCCACAACACTTCAGCTGTAACCGACAAAATGTTCATTAGTTTGAAGATTGAAACCATGTTTCCATATGTTTCCACTAGTGCATGGTTTCACCATGTCAAAACTATACTTCCTCACCAATTGCAGCATATGGATGTATCTGACCAAAAGGAAGTTTAGAACTCAAACTTCCGACAATATGGACAGATGGATAAGCAGAGGTGGGAAGAGTCAGAGAGGAGAAGAGCCGAAGAGAGAAGATCAGAGAAGAGTAAGTGTGAGAAGAAAGAAGATGCAGGTGCGCGAAAAGGTAGGACCAGGTAGGAAAGTCGCAAAACACTCCGGATGGTAGGCTCGCTAAAGCGGCGGGTGCGGAGCCATGTGGTCAGATGAGAGACGAAAAGTTGCACGCCACTGTGGCGCGAAACGCATTTGCAAGTCAAAATGAAGAAAGCAAACCAACATCGGACCACTTTTGGTAGTTGTGGTGTCGAAAAAGTGCATGCCGTTGTGCCGCGAAGCACATTTCCAAGCCAAAATGTACAAAACACGTCAGCTTCGGAGCACTTTTGGAAGTTGAGATGTCGGTTGTGGCGCGAAAAACATTTCCAAGTCAAAATGTACAAAGCACACCATTCTCGGACCACTTTTGGATCGAAAATGCCGTTGTGGCGCGAAGCTCATTTCCAAGTCAAAATGTACAAAACACGTCAGCTTCGGAGCACTTTTGGAAGTTGAGGTGTCTAAAAAGTGTACGCGGTTGTGGCGCGAAGCACATTTTGAAGTCAAAAGTGCAAAAAACTGAGGGACGGAGCACTTTTGGACGTTCAGATGTCGGTTTGCGTGGCAGGCGCAGGGGATTGCGCACCTTTTCAAAAGTGAGCAAAATGTGGGTCTTGTAGCATTTCCAAAAACGATTTGAAGAGGATCTGGAAAGATACATTTTCCGTCGCAGGCGCAGTACAAGAGACATGTTCATCAGAGATGTTAGGAGGTGAGGGCGCTGATTTCCTCAGAGGGGTTGCATTTTGGAGCATGAGATCCTCAGGTTTGCTAAGATGATTTCGCGTGACAGGTGCAGCACTTCGTATGACCTGGCATCACATTTTTCGTGGCAGGCGCAATACTTTAGACAGATGGAGCCGAAAAATCACAAAACGCATTGGTACGAGGCCGTCAGCTCTGCACTCAACGTTCCATTTTTGAAGGAGAAGTCTCGCAGAATTGCTTCGTTTTTGACGTTGTCAACTTGGAAAATTGAGGAAGTCTCGCAGAATTGCAGTGTTTTTGATGTTGTCAACTTCAAAAATTGAGGAATTCTCGCAGAATTGCAGTGTTTTTGATGTTGTCAAAATCAAAAATTGAGGCAGTCTCGCAGAATAGCTTCGTTTTCAAGCTTGCAGGTAGACAGATGGATAGATAGACAACTACAACTACCACTCACTACCATTGTAAACACAAGGTAAAAAAGGTCGAGTTGTGTGCACCCAAGGCTAAGGGATCGTGCTAGAGCGATGTCTCACATTTTTAAGTTTTGTAAGTTACACCACAACTGAAACCAAGGGTCTGTTCGCTCTGTGTCTTGTCTGTGCAAATGTTACCTGCTTGCTATCGAACTTTCTAGATGGAAAGATGAAGAACTAGATAGGTGGATGGGTGAAATGCTTCGGTACTTACATGGATAGAATGGCAGATAGATAGCTAGATAGATCGATAGACCGCAAGACGACAGACAGATTCAGAGACAAGGAGATGGACAGATCTCAAAAGAGAGAAGTAGAAAGAAAGATAGACAGATGGACGCATAGACCAAAATAGGATGATGGGTGGACGGCTGCATAGACAAAAAGAGAGCTAAGCAGATGGATGGAAAGACAGAGAGATGGATAGGTTGACACACAGATAGATCAGCAGACAGAAAAGAAGGATAGATAGCTAGATGGATGGAAGTCATAGATAGATAGATAGATAGATAAATAGATAGATAGATAGATAGACAGATGGATAATTCGACATTCCAACCATCTTTCGGTCCATCAGTGGATTCGCTCTGCCATCCGTGATTCACAACAACCAAGCTCTCCTATAGGTTTCCTATTTTTGAAACTTCCGCCACCGCCTTGTGCGGTACTACTGGAAATAGGCTGTTCATAGCTGTTCCCTATTATATACCCTCCGGTAATTTAACATGGCGATTGAAAAAAATGCCATTTACAGTTGATTTACCCATTAAAAATGTTGATTTTCCATAGTTATGGAGGGTAACTGTCATGCTCCCAGGCACAGACCGCCATCGCAAGCATCCGGTGGAGCTCCAGGTCCAAATCCAGGTCCAAATCCGGATCCAGATCCAGGTCCCATGGCTCCAATGGCTCCACTGGCCCCAATGGCCCCTGGCGCCAGCGCCATTGATTTTGGGGGTTGGACCTCTGATTTCAACGTCATGAATGGTGATGTTATGGTGATTTTATGGTGATTTTACCATGATTTACGATGATCTAACATAGCCCTCTGGTAACGATGTTCCTCCAAGTATGGAATGGGGTGTGATGGTTCAATCCGTGGAGAATGTTGCTTATTGCAGTCCAGTTTTCTGGTTTACATCTCACTTCTGGGGACATACCATCAAAAAGATGCAGCCGCTTTCAATTCACTTGTTCTTGATGTAGTTTTGCTCTCATTGTTTGCTTGGCGAATCTCTACCCTCTAGTGCTTTAGACTTGCAACCCCAAAAATACGTAAACACATCATTTGTGAGGATCAAATCACTTACATTTCTAATGGATTTCCTATCATCAACCACTTGACCACGAAGACCAAACCAAGTGTGGGTTGTTGGCAACCTCATGATCGATCCACTACCATCGGGGCAAAAGATTACATCCCTCATAATCTGCCTGAAACCACCGGTTTTGGTTGACACTTGTGATTTTATCCATCATGTCTTGACAACACCATGTCAACACGATCACCCTCCAAAATTGATCGGTAATTGCCGAACTGATGTACATAAGTCAACAATTCTACATATCTAATCATATCTATATATTAATATAATTTACAGAAGGGAGGATCATGGGGGGTGAAGGCGTGCACATCGTAGCAACGCGCATGTTTTGTACTGTCTGCTTAAAATCATCCTGTCTGCTGATCTGCTTCCATTCCTGGAGCTTGGATCTATCACAAACTCTCATACAAACAATCCAAATTCTGAAAGAGGAAAAAACTGGTCCAAAACCATGGAAAAACAATTTAAAAAAAGTTTCACCGCATGTCACCTGTCCAGCTTCTCCTCAGACCCTCTCTATGGGTCGATATATTGTTTTTTGTGTTTTTTGGCTTTCTCGAGGTTTTTGCCACCTTGGCCCAAAAATGCCCCAAAACCCATGGGAAAACCAAAAAAACAAAAACAAAAACATAAAGTTTCACCCCATGTCACCTGTCCAGCTTCTCCTCAGACCCTCTCCATGGGTCGAAACTTGTTGTTTTTTTTTTTTGGGGGGGGGGTGGGTTTATCGAAGTTTTTGCAACTGTGTCAGTCCAACAATATCAGTTGCTCATTTTTTTGGTGTTTTTTGTTTTCCTGTTTCTTGGGCTCCTGGGAGAAATTTTCACCCTGACAAACATCCATTGGCACAGCTTTCACCCCTCCACATTTCATATTGATGTCTTCATTGAGTTACTGATTTTGGCTACTGAGCCACCAGAGAAAATGTACAGTAAAAACAGCTCTATCACCTACCTCTTCAGGCACTCCATTGGATTGATGTTTTATTGGTATGCCCAGGTTTTGGTTCCTCATGTTTAAAGGTGTGGCTCTTGTTCTTCAAATCTGGAATCACTAAAAGTGATATCTAACATAAAACATATATTTTTCAAAAATGGATTGTTTAAGCAACACTTTGTTGTACAAATAATATGTTTGTCTCAAAGTGTTTGCTCCTTCAAAAAGGCAATGTTGTATCCCTCACGACAAGATTCCTCTAAAGAAGAATGTTGTTTTCCTTTGGAAGAAGCAAATACTATTTTGCAGAATGCCACATTATTCTTCTTGCCAACTCTTGCATGCCACAAATACAGCATTTCTTGAAGAAATGTTGGTATTCCTTTGAACAATCATGTTTATTTTAAATTTGAAAGGCTCTATTTTTCATTGTACAATGTAATAGGTTGAACGAAGCAACATTCTTGTAGTCATGCATTATATCTTGAAAACACTGGTCTAAGATGTACTAGTCTTTCAAACAACATGTATGGTCGAAATATACAATATCTTCAAGGCGATTCCTTCCTCCTCCCACTAGTCAGACATCACTCCTACAAAAATGAGCAATATGCCATTCAAAGCAATTGTGCAGAGCATGCAACAAATCTTTCAAACATGTGCTTGTATTTTTACATTTTCACAAAGGTACAGTACACAATTCACTGCAGAACTGCAGAAAGCAGGGTTGTCTTCAAGATGCATGATCTTCTCAAAAAAAAATGTTCAAGATACAGCAGTCTTTCGGAAAGTACATTTCTCAAGTTTCAGTTGCGCTTTCATGCACAAAGTCAGTGTGTTACTTTTTTCCAACAAGGCAGCGCTTTTCAGGCAAAATATAGATGATGCCTGGAAAAGGTCTAGATTCAATCGTAATTAAACATCCCCCTGTGAATTCGGTGTGCAACACGTGGGGCCCCATTTTTTAGTGTTAAAATGATTTTGGGGGGGGCTACACCCTTTATAAAATGAAAAAAACAGCAAAACAGGGGGTGCACAATGTCTATAAAATGGCGCCCCCCTAGTATCTCACTTAACGGTCTCATCTGGCTATGTAGGTCCATTTTTGACCATCTGTAAAATGGGGACCCAGGTTCATGTGGTGGATGTGCTGAGATCTAAATAGGTCACAAAAGGGAGATTTTGAATATGAAAATTCCATTTTATAGAGGTAAGATGCGGTGAGAAATCAGAAAGCCTGGAGCGCGTGAAACTGCTTTGTTTTTCCCCTCGGTCTGCTCGCAAGATGCCATAAGATGCCAAAAGTCTAGGGATTAAGTGCACTGAGCCACTGAGCACACATGAGCATACTCTGGCGCCACATGTGTAGCCATTAAGATACCCAAAGAACAGCAATGGGCACACAACGGGGCCATGTCATATGAGCAATGCACATCTGTCTGGAGTCACAAATCCCGGATAATCCCGGTCTATCCCGGCAAGATCGGAATGTTCCCGTTCAATGATAAAAAAAATATAAAGTATGATATCCAAATAATCCCCCTTGCAATTTCCTCTATAAAATAGAGGTACCCGGGTACCCTTATAACCCATTATTTTATCCCTCTACAAAAAAAAAGTTCTTTTTTTTAAAATGATGTTGGGAAATACGAAGCACTGTTTGGTGTTTTTGGCATGTTGCAAGGTCAACCCAGGTCCCCATTTTATAGAGTGACTTTTTGGGGTAACTTTTGGGGGCTCTTTTTAACCCTGGTCCCCATTTTATAGAGACTAATGCTTGGATTGTGTCAACATGAACAACTCGCTAGACCGGCAGCACCACATGGCTCCAAAATGTTCAAAAAGATCAAACATGTTGGCAAGATTTGGCAAGTAAAAAGAGAAACCAATTGAATACAATCGAAACTAATCAAATACATCAAATAAGGATAAGTAAGGCCTTTCTTTAAGCCGGAATTTTCAAGAACGATAGTATGGGAATGACATGGAATGAATGTATAAGGGGGACATGCAGAATCAAGAATCATTAAGATACTACAAGAATCTACAAGACAATAATAGATAATACAAGAACATACAAGAACATACAAGATACTACAAGCACATACAAGCACGAACATTGATGTTACAATATGTTACATGATGTTACAAATTTATATTGTACTATCTCTATAAAATGGGTATTTGGGCCTCTACCACCAAGAGCCTCTATAAAATAGGTGCTTTGTGGTAAAATACGAGCTGGTTCCCCATTTTATAGAGGAGGGCTTCCCAGAATCTGGGAAAGTGTTGAGGCTTTGGAGATTTTTGATGATGTTTGATGTTTTTTTTTGAGGGGGCTTTTGGGTCTGGGATGGCTTAGGGATGTTTGGGGAATCTTAGGAATTCTTAGAATATCTATGGAATTCTATGGATATCTTGGGTTGTGTGGTAAAGCGCCTTCCCTAACTTCCAGCTTTCTAGCTTTCCCATCCCAGGATCTCCCAGGTGCCAATGTGTTTTCCATATTTTTCCATTTTATAGAGGCAAGCCCTTGCAAAACCGTTCTGCTCCCCATTTTATAGAAGGGCTTCCTAGCTTTCCAATCACAGGTGCCCATGCGTTTCTATTTTATAGAGGCAAGCCCTTGCAAAACCGTTCTGTTCCCCATTTTATAGAAAGGTTATCAGAGGTTTTTTATTTTTTTTAAACAATATATACAAACAATCTTCAAAATATTCAATGCGTTGGATTGCGTTGCTCGGTTTCACCCGGGACTTGGTGATTTCTCACCTTTGATCACCTCTATAAAATAGAATTTCCAAATCAACAACTCTCTTTTGTGACCGGAGTTTGGCCCCAGCACTTCACACCTGGGACCCTGATCCTCATTTTATAGAAGGTCAAAATGGACCCTGGCAGCCGCATCAGACAGTTAAGTGAGTAACCTGGGTACCCCCATTTTATAGACAGCGCAGACCCCCCTAATTACCTGGGCACCCCCATTTTATAAAGGGTGACCCCCCCAAAAAAAAACAATGTTATCACTATAAAATGGTGGTACCCAGGTTACACACTGAACTCCAAGGGGGATGCAAATGCTATGTTAGTAGTCCTGTTGCCAAAACTTTGGTTTTGGATTGAAAATCATGACTGGCACAACTGTTTTTGGATGTCTCCCTGGGGCTCGCCTTACTGGACCCAAAAAAGCTTCAAAATCAACAATTTTATATAATCGATTGAATAAGGAAAAAACTTCTGGTCGATGTTGCCAATCTGGCTACTTGCTGCCATGATGATTGTGATGTACTATTGGAGGTTTGGGAACCGTGCGCAAAGGCTATGTTAGTAGTCCTGTTGCCAAAACTTTGGTTTTGGATTCCAAATATATCCAAACAGAAAACACAACACACACACAAAAAAAAAACGCCGTTTTACTTGAATGATCTTGAAATATCTTGAATGTGTTTGACATTTTGTTGAGCCATATGGTGCAGCTTGGACAGCGAGTTGTTCATGTTGAAACAGCCCAAGCTGTGACCTCTATAAAATGGGGACCAGGGTAAAATAGGGTCCCCAAAAAAGAACCCAAAATACCCTCTATAAAATGGCGACCACTCTTGGCCTTGGAGCATGCCCAAAACGCCAAAGAAGTGCTTTGTAAGTCCCAGGAGAAAAAAAACACATTTTATAGAGGTATAAAATGGAGGGTTATAAGGCTACACGTGTTACCCTATTCTATAGAGGAAATTTCTAGGGGGATAATTAAACCATCTTTTGAAGAAGTGCACGTTCAATCTGGTCATGTTCTTTTTTGAAAAGCACTCATGAACAGCATGAAAGGATGCAGAACACGTTTCAGAAAGTACAGAATTTGACGCTGAACATTGCAATCATGTATGTTCAATATCAAATACATATTTATCGAGAAACATAAACTATTGTGAAAAAAACAACAATAAATTGCCAAATAGTGTGTATATATATATATATGTAAATATGGTAATATGTACAACAATATAATGCAGCATTCATTGCAGGCATCAACATCATTGTATATAGACATTTTTTCTTTTCCAAAATGCTAAACAAAAAGAGACTCAACAAAAAATAAAGCATTCTTGGAAAGAGACAATATCTCTGTAGAAAATGTAGTATTCTGGACAGTCGTGATTTGTGGCTTCATGTGCAAACCATTTCCATATCTCAAAAAAAAAATGCAAAATCAATGCTTTCACCACTCCACCCCCCACGGTAGTCCGCTGTCATAATTTAATATCTATATTAATATAATTTAATATCTATGTATTAACATAATTTAATATCTATATATATATTAATAAAATTTAATATAAATATATCTCTATATATAGAGAGTGAGAGACTTTTGGGAATGGGTCAAAACCTGTTTTTACCACAGTTCAAGACAACCATCCATTGGTTTCCACCACGCCTCCTAGGCCACCGGCACCTCTCAGGTGATTTGGATGGGACAAAATGAAAAAGTTTATGGATAGACAGGGGTTTAACAATCAAAAATTGACATTTAAGAATCAACAATTGGCATTTAACAATCAAAAAATGGGATTTACCCTTTAAAGGCACCTTTGTCAGGAACATGAGATTATTGTCATATATATTGGTACATTCATGATCATTCATGTATATAATTTCCATGCATTTCTTGGCTGTGTTTATGGCGGCAATAACTAAGTCCGGAAACTATCAGCCATAGTATCCGGGTCCATGTTCAACCCCAAACCTAGGATTTATCATTGAAATTAAATTCATTTTAAATACTTCCCAAAAATGTTTTTTTCTTTTCAAAAACGGGTCAAGGTGATTTTGGGATGACTCCCCAAAATCACAAGAATTGATGGTGACGTCATGATGAGGTTCTTGCATTTTGCTTTGTACTGAAGGGTTTAGATTTTACAGTGAATATCAGGCTTTAGAATGTTGAAACTTAGACTTAAAACTAAAAACCCAATAAATTTGTGGCAAACAAACGTGGAAATTCTAACCAACACAAATGGGAGATCACCAACCACTCTCCTGCACCTTAGCCATTTTCGGCTTGACTCCAAGTTCACTCAACAAGGACTGTGGCCCTGATTTCCTTCATGATTTGTTCAGCCATGTGTTTGGGGCATACCCCCTTACATAGCCCTTCTACATTAATATTTATATGCTAGGTCAGGCACCTCCAATTTCAGGTACCATGGCGACATTTGGGGTCTTTCACCACCCTTGCCGCACCCCGACCTGAACCTGCGCCAAAACCAAAGGCTGCAGGACCAGCTGCGGCAATCCTCAACGGCACAGCCATGGCTTGCGCTGGCTGCGGATGGATGTTGCCAGAATTTGCAAAGTGGGTAGTAAGTGTTTATAACTTGGTTATAACCCCTTATAACTGGTATGTCTTGGGATAACATCTGAGTGTAGAGTGATTTATATATATATATATATACAGTAGATAATCCCTTCTTCCTATTACTAAAACTCCCCAAAATAAAATAAAAAAAACAAGGATTGGTTTGGCACTTCCGTTTTTTTTGGTTGGTTACAATTGGATTCGTATTTGTGGTAATTGAGAATCAATAGGAGAACAGGATGGTGAAACAATGTGTTCAACCCCCTATTAATAAAAACAGAAAGGTACCTGGAGTTTTTTGATTAGGGTCCCATCTCACAAGTTTTACTTGTTATCTTATTATTAAGGTTTTCATTGGAATATTAGGGGAAAGCTTCGCAATCCAGTTTTTGGCAATATTTTAAATAGATTTTAAAAAGGGATTTAATCAAATTTGAAAGGGGAAAGCTTCGAAATCCAGTCTTTGGCAATATTTTATATTGATTTTAAAAGGAAATTTAATCAAATTTGAAATCAAGTTTTTTTTATTATTAAGGTTTTCATTGGAATATTGGGGGCACCCTAACACAAAATACATCAAAATGCCCTCTATATAATAATAAACATAGATCACCGTGTTTACCATTTGGGGGGGTTAGGAATAGGGAGAGAGGACTATACTGCAGGAAATCTGTGTTGTGATTTCAACATGTGTTCGTTGCACTCTGAACAGGAATCCAAAGTTTGGGAGGCATTTCATTCACAGTGCAAAATGCTCATCCAGAGGGGTAAAAATCGTTATATAGATGTGTCATGATTCGAACTGGTACAATAGCTGCAATCCTTCTCGGTCAGATTGCAGGGGAACATGTACTGAGTCAAACTGAGTTACTATTCATGGCAACAACATGCTGCAACCTAAAACATCAAAATCAATCCTCCAACCCCGAACGGGTCGACCAGGCACTGCGCATAACGTTGTTGGACAGCACGCATGACTTGTTGTTGCTGGCCAGCTCGTGAGTAAGGCCCTCGCTTGAAACAGCTTTGATCAGCTTTGACACTGTGCATTTTGCGTTCTTTTCTGCATGATGACCTGAATGATGCGGAAAACAACCAACGTTTTCCTTTTCAAATCACTCCAAACTTGGGAAAGAAGGCAACGTCATGCAACATCCATCAGCTTTCAACCGCAGTGACCCCGCCTGGGCCCAAGTCCTTCGAAACGTTCCCGCAGGGTTCGCAGGTGTAGCCCGGGGGCAAGGGATCGGGGCATTTGCCTCTGTGGCACCCAGGAGCTGGAAGCTTCATCTTCTGAGCGCGGAGAGAAAGACAGAAAATTGGAGGATTTTGGCAAAAATAATGGACTTCAATGGATTGGTTTTAGGGAAAATATGTACCAAACCCTGGGTCTTATACCATGCAGAACTGGGTTATATATTAGTTTTAACTATGCTTACCACTTTGATGGGTCATGGAGTGAGTGAACTGCTGATCCTCAGTGGGATATACGCCGTTTTCACTGGGCTTATTCGGTTGTAAGGGCATGATATGACCCAATTATGACCGAATCAACTATCTCCATAGCCCATCTAAGCATGCAGTCCCAATGTTGATAAATCTGGAACACCAAATCCGGGGGGTTCTTCTTTGGTACTTGGAATGTATATGGAATATATATAGGATGTTCAAATATCCTAGGGGTTCTTCTTTGGTGAATCCCCTATAAAATCAATAGGATATAATAATAGGGAATATGAGTTTGGATTTCTTTGGATGGGAAATAATTAACACATATGTCCAAATGTTCACTAACCCCACTTGCCTTGGATCGCCAACTCGCCTGATTTTCAAGGCTCGTTAAACCTCTAGGTAAAAGAAGAACAAAAACGGCAATACATATATATATATATATATTCATGGCATGTTACTGGCATGTTATATATATATAGTTTAATATGTTATGTATATATATATATATCATACAATTACCGTTTGAGGCTCTAGAGAACTCTCATCTGGTTCCAGGCTATGCGTCTTAGCTGCACCCCGGCGCTTGTAGGTCCCAGCTGGGATGGACCGTAACAAAACTGGTTGACCGTCGATCTGGCCAAATTACTTTAATTCTTACCTCGTCTCCCTCGTGTCTTAATTTGTTCCCCATGATTACTGTCCTCGTTCGTTAATTTGCAGGTGCAAATTAAGGCTTTACCTCGTTAATTCGAAGGAAGAAAGTAGCTTGTGGGCCTTCTTTCCAGGGTCCAACCCCAAGGAAAAAACTTTTCAGAAGCTCACGATCCACGGTCTCTTGCAGGGATTTTTAAATCTGAGTCTGATCGGTCTTTGCGCTTCTTGCGCTTGGGTGGTGACATCTCTGACATTATCGCAGAGATGCAATGCTCTTCTGGAGCAACTCTGAATCCTACTGCTTCTGCAGCCGTCAACCCACGAAGCGGGCCTCTGGCGATAGAAAATAAAACTTTTTGGGGCCTGAAAAGTGTTTTTTCCTTCCTTGCCTGTTGACCGGCCTCTGGCGATAGAAAATAAAACTTTTTAGGGCCTGAAAAGTGTTTTTTCCTTCCTTGCCTGCTGACTGGCCTCTGGCGATAGAAAATAAAACTGTTTGGGGCCTGAAAAGTTTTTTTTCCTTCCTTGCCTGCTGACCGGCCTCTGGCGATAGAAAATAAAACTTTTTTGGGCCTGAAAAGTTGTTTTTCCTTCCTTGCCTGCTGACCGGCCTTTGGCGATATAGAAAATAGAACTTTTTGGGGCCTGAAAAGTTTTTTTTCCTTCCTTGCCTGCTGACTGGCCTCTAGCGATAGAAAATAAAACTTTTTGGTGCCTGAAAAGATTTTGTTCCTTCCTTGCCTGCTGACCGGCCTCTGGCGATAGAAAATAAAACTTTTTGGTGCCTGAAAAGTTTTTTTCCTTCCTTGCCTGCTGACCGGCCTCTGGCGATAGAAAATAAAACTTTTTGGGGCCTGAAAAGTTTTTTTTCCTTCCTTGCCTGCTGACCGGCCTCTGGCGATAGAAAATAAAACTTTTTGGGGCCTGAAAAGTTTTTTTCCTTCCTTGCCTGCTGACCGGCCTCTGGCGATAGAAAATAAAACTTTTTGGGCCTGAAAAGTTTTTTTCCTTCCTTGCCTGCTGACCGGCCTCTGGCGATAGAAAATAAAACTTTTTGGGGCCTGAAAAGTTTTTTTCCTTCCTTGCCTGCTGACCGGCCTCTGGCGATAGAAAATAAAACTTTTTGGGGCCTGAAAAGTTGTTTTTCCTTCCTTGCCTGCTGACCGGCCTCTGGCCCCCAAAAAAGTTTTTCTAGCAAAGCCCAAGCATGCAACAGAACCAATGCAAGGCTACCTCGTCGAGGTCGGCTAATTCTGATGAGCAAATTAAGGGCTGACCTCGCTAATTCCTGCAACCTGCCTCGTTGCCTCGGCTGTCCTCGCTATAATTTGTGCAGGTCGATTTTCCTATGAAGATGGCAATGTTGTGGGGAATGTCATGATAACAAAGTACCATCTGGTTATTTAACATAGCCATGGAAAATCACCATTTATAATAGGTAAACCATCTGTAAATGGGCCATTTTCCATGGCTATGTTAAATAACCAGAAGGTAATGTCCGTAAAACAATGCCATAAACCAGCCATGACTGGGAATGGTAAACATACCACCTATAAAAATGGTGATTTGGGGGATGGCTTATTATATCTTATTACTATTTTACCCACATTACATCATGAAACTACCACATTTGGGGATGGTCTCAATCACATCCATTCATGGAAAGTCATTGGGATGGTTTGTGGCATTGGCTTTGCTAAGAGATAATCCCTTGCTGCCTTCTTGGCACCGGCGCCACGTGCGCCTGCTGCACCGGCCGCACCGACGCCCGCCGCACCACCTGTGGAACTGCTCCGGTACAAGGCATATAACTGGGATGGGTCAAACTTTTAAGCACCGACCTAGGCCATTTTCCTGAATCACTGATTAAATGAAATGGATTGAACTGGGTCTGAAAGTGGAGTATACCCCCATCGATCCCATAGTGGAATTTGTATGGGAAAACTAGTGATGAATAACCAATTAATTTGAGGATCCCCTATTTGCAAACAAACCCATAAGGGAATCACAGAGTCCATCAGAATCCGTTAGTATCGTATCAGAGGTAATGGGCCACTGTGACTGAAAAATTGGAAATGGACCGCACACAGTGGACACAACAAAGCGCTCCTGATATGCAACTCCGATATGTAACTGCACTAATCAGCACACAAACAAATTGTCTTACGATTAGTGAGTCATGTGTGTCATTTTGTATCCATTTCCTCCCTCTCTCGGCATGTCAGTGCCCAAATTTCATTAGTTTTTTGCCCCATTTTGGGACAAGATCCCAGTGAGATAGCACCAAACTAAGGCTGGCCTGCAAAGGAGTTTTTGTTGAAACCAGAACCATAGCTGCCCATGTTAGGCTCGCCATAGCTGTCCTCTGGAAATGAACCCCCCGGTCTTGCTGAGATGCATGCTGATTGACCATACACTGCACATTGGATGCCAAAAGTAGGGGTCCGCAAAGGTCCAACAAGAGTGAACGAAAACACGCAGCAAGATGCATGTTAAAGGGTTCCGAAGTGGCTACCCATGTTTTTTTCAGTTTAAATCTGCGGGTTTTTTTTGAGGTCTCGCAACTTGACCCCCACCTGGTAGCCTCCACTGGCGCCCAAACCACCTGCAGAGGTCGCGACACTTGGTGTTCATCCCAACGGTCAGAACTATAAAAATCACCAGTGGCCTGCACTCCCAAAGAAATTATGTTTCGCATGACATCCGATTCAATAGTGATTATAAACAAATATAAATAAATATATGTATATGTATAAATACATATATATACATATGAATATATATATATATATATTCAATTATAAATGTGAATATATCTAAAAACATGAATGTGTATATTTATATATATTTCAAAATGTACGCATTCAGTGCATAAATATATATATATATATTTATATTTATGTATATATACATGAATTCACAATGCAGGCCGCAGCGACGCGACTCCTTTCAGTGCGCCCGTGCCAAAAAAAATGTATGAATAAAACATATCAACATATAATCATATGTATATAATAAAATACAAATTTATGAATATAAATTAAACATAAAAAATGAATATAATATGTATATACATACCTATAATACAACTATAATACATGTACATAGATTAAAAAAATGTATTGTTTAAAATAAATACGGATATATATATATATATATATATATATGTGAAAATAACATCAATATGTCTTTAAAAAACCTTTATTTATATGTGTATATATATATATAAAAACGAAAAGAACAATAATATATATATATATATACTATTATTGATATGATACATACATATATGTATATATATATACATATATATGTATATATATATACAATATACATAAAACAAGCTTATATAGAGAGAAAGAAAAAAATGCATGAGAACAGAGTGTGAATATACGAATGTTTTTGAAACATATATGCATATGTGAATATTTAAAAAAGGACCATACCATAAAAATCCATAAATATATGAATATATGATAAATGTTTGTTGGGTTATTCGCATCCAAGAACTTCCCTTTGGTTGGATTCCCCAAGTTCCACAGTCATGGCCTTGATCACCATATCCAGCACCATATCCAGCGCCATGTCCAGCACCATATCCAGCACCATGTCCAGCGCCATATCTGCCAGAGCCAGCGTCGAGACCAGCCGAGGAACCTGGGGCATCCAAGTGTGAAAAACCAATCGCATGGGCTCTATGTACATGATATGTGACGATTTAAGTCATGTGCAAGTTACTACTTAATAGAGTAATCATATCACTAAATCACGTATATATCTGGAAACCCACAATACAATCTGTGTATGTGTCATTCGGGGTGGGGCTTGGGTGTGGTGGGGTGGGACAAAAACATTAATGCCAACTTGAACATGCATGGAACGCAATACCATGCATTGGGGCTGGGGATGGGGTGGGGCAATAACGTTCATGTCAACTTGAACGCGCTCTGGGTTCTTTTCTTAAACCGTACACTCTGCGGATCTTCTGTTGCACTTGCACAAACACACACACACACACACGTCATGCTACGCTCTGGGGGTCTTCTGGTGCACTTGCACACACATGTCATGCTACGCTCTGGGGATCTTCTCTTGCAACTGCGCGCACATGAAAGACCATATGCCGTATGGAGTCCTGATTGGTCCACCGAATTTGTTTGTCTTTCTTGTCATCTCTATGATATCTGGAAGTGAAATTCCAGACAGGCCTTGCGCCGCGTGACTGAGTCACAGATTGAAAAGTCAAATGTCCTATAGCACAAACATCTGGATGAGAAACACCGCGGGAGAATAGCATGAGCAACAGTTACACAAATTGATTGGAGTTCTTGGCTTAGCCCCGGGCCATCACGGAGAACCGCAATCGGGAAACACCGCAGGAGAACAGCTTGAGCAACAGGAAAAAAAACTTGATTGGGGTTCTTGGCTTAGCCCCTTGCCATAACAGAAAACCGGGTTTGAAGACTACAATTACAGACCTAAAACATCTTGAAACAGTCAAACAGAACAACAGGTAATCACAACCGCGCAGGTACGTAGATCAAGCGTCCTTGATCTACATCCTTGCCACATGTCACTCAGCTTCGTTGGCAGAGGAACTGACATGGGAACCTCTGCCCCCTGCTACTTCGGAAAATATCAGAAAGAACCAAGTAACCCTTACACACACTAGAAAAGAAGTGGATCATCAGAGTGATCCCATGGGAACTGAATCCCTATAACAAACAATCCAACAAGGCTATCGAGGCCAGGCCGACCGTGGAGGAATAAAATAAAATACTCCGGAACGAAAACTGATCATCTTGACGACGACAAAATCAAGTTCCAGTAGAAAGAAACAACCAGTCTAGATTCCATGTGCCACCAAATATCTCGACGAGGACAATGTTAAAGTACCCATAACACAGAATAATGATATGTCCAAATACCATGTAAACATTGGTTGAAATGATGCCGAGGAAAATCTCAGATTGCGACAGCCGTACGAACTCTGCTCAGGGGTTCTCGGCTTAGCCCCGTGTCATGTCAGCGACAATGAAATAATCGGATTGCAGGTGCGTCCAGCTGGCCAAGCTGGATATCCCATTTCACTGGTAGCTTCCTTGGACACAGTGCCGGTCAAATGCTGTGTCCCCCAGCATGCAAGTCAGTGGAAAAGAAGTTTTACATCTATTGAGATGTTACACAGACACTAGACAAGAACTGGATCATTGGAGTGATCCGATCGGGACTAAATCCCGTAAATGTGCAACCAAACAAGGTGATTGATATAAGGGAGACCTCCATGTAGCTGTATGCAACCTTTAAGATGAAGTTCCAATAATTGAGATCGTGAACAGAAACTTGACCACAAAGTTCCAAATATATAAGGTCAACGAACTGAAACTTGACGACAAAGCCCCCGAATAAATAAATAAGTTGTCCAGATAGGGTTCTCCGCTTAGCCCTGCGCCATGTCCATTAAAAAAAAATATAAACGAGGTTTGAAATGACCAAAGGAGATCTCAGATTGCAACAACCGTGTAAAAACGAAAATGCTGTTGGGGTTCTTGGCTTCCCTCCTTGCCACAAAGACGGAAAACAATGCAGGTACAAGTGGTTGATCAGACCACTCATCCACCGAAATGCCATAGCTTCGTTGGACTGGATAAGCAAATCGGCTCCAGTCCCCCTGCATCTACTGACAAAACAAAAGGTACAGTAGAAGTTTCACATCTGTTCAGATGTTCCACACACACACACCCTGCCGAAGCAAAGTGGGACAACTCAGGTCCGGACGAGTGAGATGGAGATGAGGATGAAAAAACGAATGAAGGTGAAATGCAAGTGAAGATGAAATGAAAATTATTTAAAGGCGACATGAGGGGGTGAACGCAAAAAAAGAGGGACGGAGCAAACACCAACACCAACACACCTGGCCCGAAACGGGCAAACCCTGAAAGGGCAAGGGAAGAGAAAACGAAAGGACGGAAACGGAAACGGAGCAAGACCAGCGAAGGAGGGGAGGACGGAAGCGCCTGAACCAACCTACCCCAGCGAAACCTACGCCTACCTAGGCACGCGCAGGACCCAACCTGCTTGGGGAGGGAAGAACGCATGAAATAAGGGACCGAATGGGGAACTAGTTGATGAGTAGGAAGAAAAAAGCTGAGATTCAGTTCCCAAAAATAGGATCGTGCGTTATTCCCTCGAAGAGACGGTAGTTGGTCAGACCCACCAGTGGGCATTAAACGGCTGTTCAAGTTCAAATGAATTAGGCGCACAATAGGTTCAACCTCACCAAAGACCAAAGAATACCACACCTGCAGGAAAAGGACATGCCTGTAGCCTGGAATGTCGGATGATGTGGACTCATGCTGTCATGTCAGTGCACTGGCAGTAAAATGAAGAAGTGTTTCAGCTGTTCCGTGCAGCTTCACTTGAGCAGAATTGAAGGACCCGGGGTTTAACCGAGACAGCCGGAGCAGCAGGGAGAGCGCATAAAAGGCTGAAACCGGAAAGGCCAACTACTTCACAATACTTAATAAGCGAATTACCAGATTAACACGTGTAAATTCAGAGTTCCGTTCATCCTCATTCTCCCAAATGGGTTCCCTCAAATGGGTCCATGGCACCATGTCGGAGCCACCATGGAAATCACACTACACAAGCACTGGATCATTGAAGTGATCCGATGGGAACTGAATCCCGTAAACGCGCAACCAAACAAGATGACTGATATAAGGTAGACCTCCATGTAGCTGTAAACAACCCTTAAGATGAAGTTCCAATAATTGAGATTGTGAACAGAAACTTGACCACAAAATTCCAAATATATAAGCTCAACGAACCGAAACTTGACGACAAAGCCCCCGAATGAATAAATAAGTTGTCCAGATAGGGTTCTCCGCTTAGCCCTGCGCCATGTCCATTAAAAAAAATATATATCAACATGGTTTGAAATGACGTCGAAGGAGATCTCAGATTGCAACAACCGTGTAAAAACGAAAATGATGCTGGGGTTCTTGGCTTCGCCCCTTGCCACAAAGACGGAAAACAATGCAGGTACAAGTGGTTGATCAGACCACTCATCCACCGAAATGCCATAGCTTCGTTGGACTGGATAAGCAAATCGGCTCCAGTCCCCCTGCGTCTGACTGACAATACAAAAGGTAGACGTTTTACATCTGCTCAGATGTTCCACACACTTGCTCAGAACAATCATTGCGAATTCTGATGTGGAATGCATGTCACGTGCAAAAACATTCCAGTTATACCTGACAGGAATGGGTCGATGAACATACCCGAGAAAGTATCAAAAAGTTAACATCGCCGTAGCCAGAGCTAGATGAAATGAGTTGGAAGGTGACCCTTCCCTTTCAACAAAGCCAAATCGTTCCCACCGTGACAGATTGTGAAAACCGTGCAAACGAGAAAGTTGAAAACAAGTCGTTTGGAAACGGCATGGTGGTTCTTGGGTTAGCCACATCCCATCTCAGAAAATTGACATGGAAAATGAAAATTGAAGCAGGTACGTCAAAGGGACGTCTCCCTTTGATATCACTGTGACTTCTGGCCGTCTTCGTTGGCACAGGAACCAGAGTCACACCTGTGCCCCCTGCTTGATACAGAGTGCATTTACCGAAAACCTAAAAGACATCAGCTAGAAGTTCTACATCTGTTCAGATGTTCCACACACACACACGTCATGCTACGCTCTGGGGATCTTCTCTTGCACTTACGCACACGCACACACGTCATGTCATGCTAAGTCATGCTACACTTTCCGAGCTTTCCCTTTGGTGTGACCTTTCTTTCTGGCTTGTGCCGGGTCTTCTCTAATTTTGCTCTAAGTCTTTTGATTTCCACAGCTGGCTTCGAAGTGCAGCTTTCCAATTGATTCCCAGTTTTGCAAATCAACTAAAGCAGAAACCGACACGGGTTTCTATATACATGAAGCATGAAGCCTAAAGTATATGTGCTTATGCTATCTAACAAGTGTTATCATGTATAAGTTTACTGCTATATAACCTATTGCTATCATAGTCATTCTCATCTAGGGCCACTCAGTGCCAGGGGATACACCTCAAAAAGGTCACCTATTTTTTTTTTGCAGGATCTTGCAACGCAGTGCATTGTATGTATTTCATACATATACATACACATACTGATGTGCATATACGAAGATAAATAATCATAATCATGTGTATATATATACACATATTGTATGCTTATACCAAAAAATATGGATATTGTATGCTTATGGGATATTAAACAAGATATTTTCAAGATATCTGTTAACATATAGATCATACAGTTCATGGCCAAACAAAACAAAACAAAACGAGGTTGTTCCCCCACCTGCAGGCATCTCAATCTCCTGGTCAGCTGAGCCAGCCTCCATCCTTGAGGTTGGAATCAGTTGGAATGGTAGTAATCACCATGGCAATGGTAGTAATCACGGATAAAAAAAAAACAGGTGAATTTGGTTTTATTCTATCTCTGAATCCTCCATCCTTGCAATAATATGTTTTTTGTTTTTACATATGTTTACAACGTTTTAGAATCTCCGTCCCTAGTTGCTTGGAATGTGGTAAAATCCAGTTCAAACATGCTGATAGTTAAATTGTGCTGTTCTTTTTGGGGTGTACTGTACTGTACTTTCATTATTTCACAAACAACCTAATATATACGAGTATATAATGTTGAATTTATTTACCACCAATAAACATGAATAGGATTACTGCAATATTGATTGCATTTGATTTATATTTGGATTCTGAAATCCAGCTGCACTGTAAAGACAACTTTTGGGGGCAAGAGGATGAAGGCTGATTCGTTGTGCCAGAAGGAAGAGCATGAAACACTACGAAGTGAAAGTGGGGTTTCACCTATGGATCCCCATAGAATCCACCCAATCAGACCATGAAACCATACTTCTTGGGTCTTCTATTTGAGGACTACACATGAAACTCATTGCCAAGGTCCCTCATCAAGATTGCTAGGCTTTCATAGGGATTCCCGGTTCATGGATTATGATCGCCTCCTATATCTATTTGATAATGTAGCCAGCAATCAACATAACCAACTGTCATGTATTAATGATATCCCCACATGATTTTACGCTTAGAATCCTACAACTGATTGGTATCAATCCGCATTTTTCAGGTATTGGTTTCAAAGAACATCCACATCTATGGAAGATCATCCCCATGAACAAAATCCAAGGCCATTCCAGTGCTGGATCGATTCATCGACGCCATGGAACATAGCCATGGAATTCACGAAGCTGACGTGTTAGACGATAGCACCGTATACATCATATGAATATATATATATATATATATGTATATATAATATTGAACATAACTAGTGCATGTATAAACAAGTATGACTGTATGAACCATCATTCCAGTGACGTCTACATTCCCGAAAAAAAACATAGGTTGATGGTTAAATTCATGTTAAGTCACCATTTTTTCACAGCGGAATCCCGCGTGTTTTGGACCCAAGCATCAGCTCTCCCTTCCGGTGCCCAGCTCTCGCTGCCAGGAAAGACATGGCCTGGGACTGGGCACGTGGCTTTGGTACCTGAAACTTGTTTGGTCAATCCAAATTTGATGTAATGTGAATCCCCCAAGATAGCTAAGTTGGTTTATAACTACACTACAGTAACTCGTGTATATTGCGGAGACACCTCTGTTAGATGGGATTATAAACCCACTTATAACTAGGGGGCCCACTATGGAAGTATGTTTACACATATTTTATTAAAAGCTATCTATTCCCATACTTGAACAACCACATAGACTTGATGGTTTATCATCATCTTACCCATTACTTGATGGCCATATGAGGGCTATTGGCTATCCCAATTTTTGATCGTTGCACACAGAGCCAATGTGGGATTTCCGCCTAATTGAATACCACCCTACTGACCGTGACTCCAATACATAGATGAATAGATGCAATACTAAAGCAGAGGGTCTAGGCCCTAGTATTTAATATCAAACGGATGGGATTATGTTGGATATTAGAACTATCGGACTATCAAATCCAGTATATAATCTAAGTCCAACAAAAACAAAAGATCAAATGCGGGAGCTGCCATCCACCTGTAGCCATGACGGACAGTGTCTGGCGGTACAAGTGCATTTGCTAATGTCTAGAGTCTAGACCATCAGTGTCTCTAGATAGTGTCAATATGTGTCAACTGGAATTTATCCTTACACCTTTTTAAATAACATCTTGCCCAGTTGTGCCATTCGAGGGGTCATGTGTCCGTGACTAAAAATTATTCCAGATTGAAACTATATAACTTATTGGGCTGCCATTGACAGGGTGCAAAATATGAACTTGGTTTATGAGGCTTCCGGGATTCAACCTGGTACTAAATCCCACTAGCAACACATTGACCTTGACTGAAGGCGTGGACCGTTGAATATCCCACAACCTGCTGAGAGTCCCTGCATTTGCTCTCCTTTTCATTGCCGGCAGACCTCAGATTTAACGAGGATGACATTTGCGGATCGGTCAACGTTGGGACCATCAAATTTCATCTGGTTATTGGTTGAGCCACCAGGCTCAAGAGGAGAGTCATTGTTTTTTGCCAGGTATCCAGTCGCAAACATTTGCAATCCAACAAGATTCTGCGCTTGGCATGATCTCATGCTATCCTTTGCGTTGCCTTTAGAATGTTACCATTTTAAAAAGGGTCCCCATGTCTGTGGTTTATTCAGTTGTGCATGAGTTCGTTTGACTTGAACAACCAATGCTGTCTAGGGCGTCCAATTCGACGTTTACCAATTTTGATGGGTTCAGCGGTCTTTTTGTCACATGGGGATCAGCAAGCGACCAGCAATCTGGATCCATTCAAACAAGATGCATGGTGCGATGTCCTGATGCAGCAATAAATCCCAAACCAGATCTATGGCCATGGTCGGTGTTTTTTGGAAAACTTAAAGTAAGGTCCTTGAAACAGTTTGACTGAAGATCTCTGTAGACACTACGAAAAAAGGCAAACTGTCACATATTACATACCCCAAGTTCTTAGGTGAAACCGTGGTTTCCCATATCTGTTGATAAACAACATGAAGCGCATGTTGTATTCTTACAAACACAATTATATACGACATATATATATATATATACCAGTTTCACAAATAGGAAACCTATAGGAGAGGTTGGCCGTTGTGACTCACGGAAGGCAGAGCCAATCCATGGATGGACCGACAGGTGGGTGGAGTTGTGTTTTTGGAGTGGTTGCAATGTTTGCAGAGGTCACCTCACCACAAATGCTGGATGTAGCGTGCTGTAGTGCAGCTGTAGTTGTAGTCGTAGTTGTATTGTAGTGTAGTGGAGTTGTAGTTGTAATGTCGTGAAATTAATGTAGTGTAGTTGTAGTAGCAGTTGCAGTTGCAGTTGTAGTTGTGGTGTAATTAGTATAGTGTATTGTAGTGTACAGTAGTGTCGTGTACTGTAGTTTGGTATAGTGTAGTGTAGTCTAGTGTAGTGTAAGGTAGTGCGGTTGTAGTTGTAGTGTAGTGCAGTGCAATTAGTGTAGCGTCGTGTAGTGCAATTTAGTGGTAGTTGCAGTTGTTGTTGTAGTTGCTGTGTAATGTAATTAGTGTAGTGTAGCGTTGTGCAACTTAATGTAGCTGCAGTCGCATGTGTATCTGTACTTGCAGTGTGCTGCAGTGTACTTGGGGCAGTGTAGTGTAATGTGGTGTAGTTGTAATTGTAGTTGTAGCTGTGGTAGCAGTAGTTGTTGCTGTAGTGTAATTAGTGTAGTGTAGTGCAATTAGATGTAATTAGTGTAGTTTAGTAATTTAGTGTAATTAGATGTAATCAGTGTAGTGTAGTGTAATTACTGTAGCGTAATGTAGCATAGTTTATTTAGTTTATTTGCATTTGTAGCTGTAGTAGTAGTAGTAGTAGTAGTAGTAGTAGTAGTAGTAGTAGTAGTAGTAGTAGTAGTAGTAGTAGTAGTAGTAGTAGTAGTGTAGTAGTAGTAGTGTAGTTGTAGTTGTGTAACTAAACTACACTAAACTAAACTAAACTAACAAACTAACTAACTAACCAACCAGCTAACTAGCTAAATCACAAACTAAATCACAAACTAACTAACTAACTAACTAACTAACTAACTAACGGACTAACTAACTAACTAACGGACTAACTAACTAACCAACTAACGAACTAACCCACAAACAAACAAACAAACTAACTAACTAACTAACTAACCAACTAATTAATTAATTAATTAACTAATTAATTAACTAACTAACAAAGTAACAAACTGAAAAACTAACCAACTAACCAACTAACAAACTAACAAACAAACAAACTAACTAACTACCTAACTAACTAACTACCACACTAACTAGCTAACTAACTAACTAACTAACCAACCAACCAACCAACTAACTAACTAACTAACTAAACTAACTAACTAACCTATCTATATATCTATATATCTATCTATCTACCTATCTATCGATCTATCGATCTATCTTTCTATTTCTATCTATCTATCTGTCTGTCTGTCTATCTATCTATCTATCTGTCTATCTATCTATGTGGTTGTAGTTGTCGTTGTCGTTATAGTTGTAGGTTGTTGTATAATTGTCTGTCTATCTACCTAATCTATCTATCTATCTATCTACCTGTCTGTCTGTCTGTCTGTCTGTCTGCAAGCTTGAAAACGCAGCTATTTTTGCGACACTTTCTCAATTTTTGAACTTGACACCATCCAAAACGAAACAATTATGCGAGACTTCCTCAATTTTGGAACTTGACACCATCCAAAACGAAACAATTCTTTGAGACTTCATCATTTTTCGAATTTGACAGCATCAAAAACAAAGCAATTCTGCGAGACTTCCTTAAAATATGGAAAGTTGAGTGCAGAGCTGATGGCCTCGTACCAATGCGTTTTGCGATTTTTCCAGTCCACCTGTCTAAAGTACTGCGCCTGCCACGAAAAAGTGAGGCCAGGTCATACGAAGTGCTGCACCTGTCACGCAAAATCATCTCAGCAAACCTGAAGATCTGATGCTCCAAAATGCAACCCCTCTCAGCAAATCAGCGCCCTCACCTCCTAACAGCTCTGGTGAAGATGTCTCTTGTACTGCGCCTGCCACGGAAAATGCATCTTTGCAGATCCTCTTCAAATGTCCCACGCCTGCCATCGATTTTAGAAATACTACAAAACCCTCATGTTCATTTTTGGCCAGGTGCGCAATCCCTTGAACCTGCCACGCAAAACGACGCTTCAACGTCCAAAAGTGGCGTGAGCATGTGGTGTTTTGTACATTTTGACTTGAAAATGTGCTTCGCGCCACAACAGCGTGCACTTTTTCGACATCTCAACTTCCAAAAGCGGTCCGGACCAGTCAGTTTTTAACACTTGTGACTTCGAAATGTGCTTCGCGCCACAACAGCGTGCACTTTTTCGACATCTCAACTTCCAAAGAGTGATCCGAACCTGTCAGTTTTTTACACTTTTGACTTCGAAATGTGCTTCGCGCCACAACGGCGTGTAATTTTTCATCTCTCATCTGGCCAGCTGGCTCCGCACCCGCCGCTTTAGCGAGCCTACTTTTCGACCCTCCGGAGCCAAAAATCATTCGAAAAAACACAGTGTTTCGCGACTTTCCTACCTTTTCACTCACCTCGATCTTCTTTCTTCTGAGGCTTTCTCTTTTTTGATCTTCTTTCTTCTTCTCTTCTCTTCTCTGACTCTTCCCATCTCTGCTTTTCTGTCCATATTGTCGGAAGTTTGACTTCTAAACTTCCTTCGATTATACACATAAATAGTTTTTAATATATAAACGTTATCACCCTTTCTCTTGCTTACCCCTGCGATTTCCAAGTGAAATCCATGGGTCCAACATCGCACTTTTTCACTTGGGGTGCTGCTGGACTTGGGTTTATATTTCAATCACTTGATTTAATCCCACCCTGACATACCTGGACCTTCAACCGTAGCAAGAATTATTGTATCAATTGGCTTCAATTGGCTGCTGTGCAATTTCCATTGCCATTGTATCACTGCTCAGCCAAACGAGTAAACTCGTGCAAAACGTGCAAAAGCTCATGAAACCATAATATATACATATATATATAATATTAATATTATATAGTATTATCATATTCCATAATACTCCCATGTTCCAGCTGGGGCCATTCAGGGCCAGGCCCTTGGAGATGCGAGTTGCATACGTTGGACATCACAGAAGGGGTTTTGATTCTAGGTGATCCAGTTCAGATTTATGATATGGGTGGTCTAGTACATTCTAACAAAATTAGGCAAACATGTACACATACATCGGGCGAAAAACGGGCGCAAAAAGGTGTCAAACGGGCGCAGGCAAACTATATAGGATGACCAGCTTTCAGCGAATTTATCGAAGGAAGTTTAGAAGTCAAACTTCCGACAATATATGGACAGATGAAAAGCAGAGTAGGGGAGAGGCAGAGAGAAGAGGAAGATTAGAAGAGAGAAGATGAGAAGAGAAAGAGTCAGAAGAAAGAAGATACAGATGCGCGAAAAGGTAGGAAAGTCGCGAAACACTGTGTTTTTTCGAATGATTTTTGGCTCCGGAGGGTCGAAAAGTAGGCTCGCTAAAGCGGCGGGTGCGGAGCCAGCTGGCCAGATGAGAGATGAAAAATGCACGACGGTGTGGCCCGCGAAGCAACATTT